TTGTACTATATTGGCATTGGCTTTGAGAATTTGTGACCTTCATGCCATGATGAAGTATTAGACTTTAGTGGAGAGATATGTTTTTAGGTTACTTCAATAGTTTGGTATTCAGCAGCAGGGAAATGAGGGTTCCACTATACTCTACCTTGGCCAGACTACACACGAAACATTCATCCAGTTCTGATTGCCACATTTTTAGAAAGACTTTGATAAACTTTTAGAAAGACTTTGGTAAACTAGAGCATGTCTAGAGGAAGACAGTGATGATAGTAATGGAACTCAATACCTGGAAGTAAGAACATAAACTTGCTTAGGTAAGCTTTGAGACCTCAATTCCCTGACAACCTCTTCTGCTTTGTTTCCTTCCCTGATGACAGGTCAATGAACAACACTCTTGAGAATTTGCTGTGAGCCTTGGTGGACCCTTGGTAAGTTTGAGAGTTCTTCAGTTCTTGGGTCAGAGGTGCTTCTTGCAGACTACACATCATTTTTAGAGAAGAAACATTACCAGTAGGTGGATGCTATAGCTAATGGAGTTAAGAGTCTAAGCTATTCCTTGTCTGGCCAGGAGATCTGGACCCTGTGAGCTGCTCAGACTGTGTAGATCTGAGGTAAAAAGGAACAGTCTGTTTTATCCCACAATGACTTTACCTTTTGGGGGCATTATAGTAATACCTTATTATTTTACATTTTAAGTAATTAATCCACTTTTGTGTTTTAATCATTTTGTATTTTAAGCATTTTTTTTGTGGTAGAGATGCTAAATAGTTAGCATCTATTTTGTTTATTGAGTACCTTTTCTATGATGGATCCCCTATTAGTCTTTTAGGAGAGACTTTAGACATGAACCATCCTTCAACTTTGTGGTAGAGATTTCCCTCAGAATTCTGGAGAGTGGGGCATAACAAGCCAGAGAGTATGAGAAAAGCCTGACAGGATAAGGCCCTCTCTTGGACTGAAGTTGGTCTTTCTGAGCCCAGGGCCAAAGTCCCATATGAAAGAGGGCATCCCCTTAGCTATCAGTGACACAAAGATTAGTGAGGTAAATTGGTATGGGTTTCCTAGAAAAGAGGACAGGTAACAGGTTGGGAAAAGGAAACATGATCACTATACTCAAATATTTTAAGGGTTGTTATATGGAAAATTGACCAGATTTGTTTTGCTTTCTTCTGAAAGGTAGCACTAGGGTTAATGGGTTCAAACTACAGGGAAATAAATTTCAGCTAAATATAACAAAGTTGTCCAAAAGTGGCATGACCTGCAGCTGACATAGGTACATTTCCTCTTCCCCAGACTAAGAAAAGAGAGTTCCATGCCACATGTTCTGGAGGGAAGAAGAGAGTAAGAGGTTGTCTCTTCTGTAAAGCTATTGAGTATGTATTTTTTTTTCTGCCTCAGTGGCCAATCCCTTTTGATATAGGTTCCCCTTGCTGCCATCATGGTGGGACCAAGGGTCCAACAGAGTTATTACTCTATTATCTCAAAGTGCACATTTTTCAGTTTTGAGAAATAGGCATTACCCAACTCAGCTCCTGGAATGAAGCTCCCACAGGTCCATCCCTACACATATTCCAATCTGTATACTCCAATCCACTTTTGCTATATTTATTTTTACATCACCTACATTTCTTATTATACCCTCTTCCAGAGAACTATCCCAGCTTATAGCAACAAATGAGAAAAAAAGTTCAGCAAAATTAACCAACACATCATCCAAGTCTAATATCATATGTTTCATATCCATAGTCCTTTACCTTTTCAAAGAAAGGTGAGAGCTGACTTGCACATACTTAATGTTTCTGAATGAATGAACTTTCATTGGATGTTATTATCCCTTTGGTATTCAGGAAGATCCTAACCATATGGTTTCCTAATGTTAGAAGAGGAAAGAGTTTTTCTTCATGATCTTCAATTCTTTGCATTCACCAGTATGTTATTTGGCTACTAACCAGGGCTTTGTGGAGGAGATAGCTAATAAAGTCTTAAATGAATTTTTTCCCTCTTCTTTGAACCCCTGAAGAATATTGTTTTTACTTTTCTTGTGGAACATAATGCATTCTTCTGGACTGTCAAATATCAGTGATTTTTACTAATGCAAATCATATCACTTCTGTTCCTTAATAGATAATGATTTTTGAAGGCCCAAAAAAATCATCCTCTGGTGATCCACCTCTCCAAACTTAGGCTGATCTTAGACAAGTTATATAGTCCATCTCCAGACCCATCCTTAAAGCCTTTTCAGTTTGTTAATAACTTCCAGTACTTGCTGTCTGCTGATATAGCCGCTAAGAACCCAGGGTCACGTTTCCACAAGACAGTGAAGCAGTAAAATAAAACTATCAGTGGCACTGCATTCTGCCTTAACTATGGCTATCTGTGTACATTTCATCTCCCCTTCTGAGTTCTAAGGTTCTTGAGGGCAAAGGATCAAGTTTTATTTGTCCTTTTGGCTTCAGTACCTACCTTCAGTGCCTTTAGAAGGCTTCTGAATACCTGTTGAAATTTGATAAATATAAATATCTGTTGATTTGAAATTAAGAGACAGCAGAGCCAGGCTGCATGGTATGGTGGAAAGAGTGCTGAATATCAGAATAAGTTCAACAGTATTTCAGTATAAGCTCTGCTGTTACTTGGGTGACTCTAGGCAAATCATTCTTTGGGTCTTTTTTCTTTTCTGTAAAATAACTTTTACTAAGTTCCCTTCCAGCTCTAAATCTATGATCCTAAAGTGGAGTGGGACTGGGGGGCAGGGCGTAGAAAGAGGCCCCTAAGTAGGTAGAAGGCTGGGAAGAGGGTGGGGTGGGAGGATAACAAAGTGACCTTTATGAAAATAGTACCATAAACCTCTATCTCTGACAGAATCTAGCTCCAAAGGAGGAACAAGTTCAAAAGTTATATGCAGATTAAAACTTAAAAACCTTAATTCTGAACTTCTAGTTTCTATTAATTAGCCCTTACCCTTACATCTCCATCTTCTATTACTGCCTATGAAGGTTTCAAGATGACCTAGTGGCTTCCTCTCTTCCCTCTTTCTGTTGAAAACATTGCTATTCTTCCAGTGTGTCAGGTTGTAACCTCAGCATTATTCTGGATTCCTCCTTCATCCCACATATCCAATCAGTTGCCAAATCTTGCACTTTCTATTTTCACAACATTTATCCATCCAGATCCCTTCTAACTCAAAGTTACTCCCTTGGCTCAGGGCGGCATACACCTTTCTTCTACATTATTGCAATAGCCTCTTTAATTAGTCTCTCACTGCTCCAGTCCATCCTCCACACTGTTGCTAACGTAATTTTCCTTAAATGCAGATCTGATCTTGACCATGTGACTCTCCTATTTAACCAACCCTAGTAGCTTTATAGTGCAAATGCGGAAAAAAATATAAATTCCTATTTCACTTTTAAAGCTCTACAGAACCCCACCCTATCTCTCTAGCATCATTCCACCTCTCCTGCTCTGTACACTCTGTGATCTAGTCACATAAGCTTTCTGTTCCTTCCTCAAGAGACTCCAACACACTTCTCAATGACCTTGCACTGGCCATCTCCAGGAGAGTACAATGCCTCTCCCCTTACGTCTCTTTCATAAAATTCTTTATTTTTCATTCTTGAAGACACAGCTCATACATTACCTTCTACTTGAAACCTTTCCTGATTCCTTCAACTGCTGATGCCCTAGGTTCCCTTGTATTTAATTACTCTGTATTTATTCTCTTTATATTTATACTGTGTATATTTCCATATGTACTTGTCTTTTCCATTAGATTGTAGTGTTATTGCAAGTAGGAATTATTTATTCTTTTTACTTGTATCCTTAGAGCCTAGCACAGTCTCTGGTACTTAGTAGACATTTAACACTTGTTGACTGATTAAAAATGTGAGGACATAAGGTTTAGGATAAAATTTGGGGAAGTGATGATGAGAAAGCAGATTTTTCTCAGCCCAGCGCTACTGGGACTTTCATCATGAGACAAGGGAAGTCGTTTGAAGTCAGTCTGGTGCTCTACCCTGTGTCTTCAGGAGGTGACCCAAGAAAAGAGTCTCTGAATGTGCAAAAATACTCTCAGACTCCAACGTGGGTTGCCACACTTTGGAGGTTCAATGACAAATCCTCACAGACTCTGGGATGAGGCGATGAGTCAAGGATTTCTGGAAGGGCGGGGTGGAGATCATCTAGGGAGCCATAGTATTTGTAGTGGATGCCTTCAATGTTCACTATGTCACTACCCAAATCATTGTGATTGGGTTGTATCCGATTCTCCCCCCGCCCTCGTCCCCGCCAACCCCCAGTCTCAGGCTGAGGAGAGCCATCAGAAAGCGCGTCCATGCAAAGTCCCCACAGCAACCGTCCTCAACGGCTTCCCCCAACGGCTGCGTGAGCTCGCGCGGCCCAAGCGCGCGTGCGCGGGACCAGCCGGGGCACGCCGCCGTGTGCGAGGGCGCGGGCGCGCGCCCAGGCCGAGGCTCTGGAGGCAGAGGAGGCACCGAGGCGGTCGCGGCGGGAGCGCCGCCTGGGAGACTAGGCGGGCCACAGAGACAGCTCGAGTCCCGCTCGGCAGGAGCGGTGCCTGCGGGCCCGGAGGGAAGGAGACTGGGTCAGGAGCGAGGGAGGCCGGCGGTTCGCCCCCGCATCGCTCGAGAAGCCACCCTTCGCCGGCCGCCCGCTCCCGGGACTTGGCGTGACGCGGGCCTGCGGTCGGATAGCCGCGGAGCCCGGACAGCTCGCACGTCGACTCCCCGCCCCCCGCTCCCCGCCCCCCAGCGGGCTCCGGGCTCCTCGGGGTCCCGGGTGGGGGACGTGGGGGCCCTGGTTGGGAGGCGAGGCGCCTTCCCCCTCTTCCTTCCCTCGGGACGGCCGCGGGCCCGGCCGCCTCCCTGCCCGCCTGGGAGGCGCGTTGGTCGGCACTCGCTGGGCACGGAGCGCCGCCTCCCCCAGCCTCCCCCCGGTGGGGGCCGGGACCTTGCGAGTGGGTCGCTCCTCCCCGGGGGTGCGGACAGCCCAGCCCTGCCCGGCCGGGCTGTGTGGAGAAGTGGGGCGCCTGCGGGGACCCCGATCCCGCCTCCTGCCCGACCGCCTGCCTGCGACTGAGACCTAAACGGAGGAAGCAAAAGAAAGAGAAACTTTGGCTTTTTATTGCGGTTTTTATTCTGTAACTGGAGGGAGCTTCGGCCGGCTGGAAAAATGTCCTTTTTCAATTTCCGTAAAATCTTCAAATTGGGCAGCGACAAGAAGAAGAAGCAGTACGAGCATGTGAAGAGAGACTTGAACCCCGAGGACTTTTGGGAAATTATAGGTGAATTGGGGGACGGAGCCTTTGGCAAAGTGTTCAAGGTAAGAGCCAAACCGGGAAGCTGCTGTGCGCGGACGAGGCGGCCCCTGGCCCAGAGCTGCGTGAGGCTCGCTCACCCGGGCTGCGGGCCCCCTGTCCTGGCTCCCATTTCTCCTTCCTCGTCTTCGTCCGGGAGTGTCAAACTTCAATTAAAGAGCCAACCACGTTATCACCTACTGAAGGCAGCTGGGTTAAATGCTGAGTAAAATGGGGCCTGAATGTACCTTTATAAATACAAGGGGTTGCTAAAGTCGGGCAAGGAAATGCAGGCTTCACTGTTGCACACTTATAAGTTAAATGTCTGCTAAGATGTATTTTAATTAGCTAAAAAGTATCGTCTAGGTTTTGTGGCCTGTCACTTAACTGAAGTACCTTTAATGAGAAATGAATCATATTTGCAGGACAGTTGCAGTACATAGTACTTTGTCCACTAGTTATCCTTGGTTGCTGAAGTAAAACAAGTCGATTTTTAGTGGGACAACATAGTTTTATTTATATCAAGCTCACAGCATAATCTTTCCTTTACAATTTTGGATGAGAATAATGACTTTTTTTTTAATTCAAAGTTTATACTTCAATTCATTGACAAAAGATACTACAGAACTAAAATATCTGATGAAAATTTTCCAGAAGAAACGCGTATGCAAAGCTTGCAGTAAATTGTTTTTGGATAAGTTAAATTTTTGGATAAGTTAAATTTTAAAAAGAACTTTGAGCTTTAAACCCTAAGACATTAATGTCAACAACCTTTTTTGTTTTGTGGATTGTTTCTTTTAGACAGTATGTAAATTATGTTTTTGGAATCTTTTAATCCTGGAGTCCAAGATTGTCATGGTACTGGATTTTAGGGAAGTTTGGAGCCTGTGGCCTAGGTGTGATGTCATGGTTAGGGATAAATGGTATTTCATGTCTTCAAAGCTTGCTCCTTTGCCTGTGAAGGATGTGTCATATTCTGTATATTAAAGTTCAAAAACAGTTCTACTAGGAAGAGGAAGAGATCTGATTTGGGAGGTGGGTGGGTGGGAAGGAAGAAGACTAGGAGATCTGTAGTGGAAATAACAAGTGGACTGGGAGTCAGTTTTACTCCTCAGTAGCTGTGTGATCTTGAGTTAGGCATTACATCTTTCCAGGCTTTGGTGTCTTCATCTGTTAAATGAAGTGGTCGGATTAGATGATCTCCAAGGACTCTCTTGGACTTAGTAGTACGATATTTGTAACTTACATAGAACTTAAGTCAGTGGCAAAACCAGGACTTGATTCCCTTTTGTCATTTTGAATTCGTTAGGTAAAAGGAAAGTGGTGGGATGGCCTGGACAGCTTTTGGTAGTAAAGGTATACCTGGTTTTTATACAATAGGTCCCTTAAGTTGTATTTAAATCATATTTTTGTACATTTGTTTTTAGCACACTGGAGAAATAGAGGATTAAAAATAATGTGGTTCCTTTAAATGAACCTTTTCATTTTCCAATGAGAATAAAGTACCTTTGTTGATATTTTCATTTAGGATCTTTGTTTTCTTAAACTTTGTTCACAAATTCATTGATTCTTCATCTGAATGGGACTTGAACATCAAGTCGTGGTCCCTCACTTTACAGATGAGATGGGACAGGAAATGGGATAAGCCGATAGTGAACTATTTCACCAATTTCACTTGCCACAGAAATGCTGTTGCAGAAGGGGGAAACAGATGTTGAGGACAAATTCCTGCCACCCTAGCTTAATTGTTTGCTGAGTTTTATGAAAGTAGCTTAATTGCTGAGTTTTATCATAACCAGTAAGTGTATCTTCATTCTAGCAGGTCATTAATTTAAAACCTTAGAAAAGTGTATGAATAAAGATTTATTGTTGAAAATTATAAAAATTATATACAATAAGTACATAACCTTTTCATTGGCAGTCTGATTTTTGAAGAAATGCGTATTTTGGGATATTTTTGTTTTTCCACTATTCATATAAGAAGATATGGCTTTTAGGTAATTTTTAAATTGATCTAATCTGTTGTGTTGTGTTTTGTTTTGTTTTATTTTATATTCCTAAAGGTTCATTTACATTAATTTTGTGTTGATAAAATTCTTTCTATATAAAAAATAACATGAGGTCAGCCATTAAAATTGTATTTAGTTTTTCAAACAAGAATTGCATGCAATTTTGTTAGAAAGTTAGAATTTATGGCTGTTTTATACTTTTAGGCACAAAGATAAAATCACATGTACAATGACATGCCATGGTTTATACATTTAAAAAACTACCCAAAGTGGTCTCATTGCTTTTACTTCTATACCAGATCTCTTTCTCTCTCCCCTCATTTCTTTTTCTCTTTTCTTTCCCTTCTTTCATTCTTTCCCTACTTCCTCTTTCTCTACCTCCTTCTCTCCTCACCCTCTATCTGGAAAATCTAGTTCTTCCCCACTTTATATTTCTTTTCCTTTTGACTTGATTAGAAAAGGATTTCAAGATTTATGTTTAACTATTTTTTTAAAAATTATTTCAAGTACTAAAGTGAGTTATAGGTTAACACTTGACAGACTGATAAAGATTTCTTATGAAGCTGATGGGAATATACACTTTTTTCCAAAGATATCTAAATTGCTTTTAACGTCACCTGGTGATTTGTGATTTTAAATAACAACTTCATCTTGGGATATATCCACATTTTAACGTAAAAAACTTTTTTTTATTAAGTTTTCCTTCCACAATTTTGTGAGGATTCTCACCTTTCAGCTTCTTGTAAGCTTTTTTATTTTGTGAAATTTAGAAAAATAGGAAATATAGGTTACAAACCTCATGGTGATATTACAGAGTATAGTTTTCATGTATTCTTGACTTATTGATGATAGTGTATATCTTAGTTTTCAGAAATTACTTTTTTGGTATGTCCACATGACTGACTTACAAGACTTATGATTCATTTGACAACCAAGAAGAGAGAATATTATGGAGTAGACAAACACTATTAATGTAAAATTTAGTCTTCAAAATCCAATAAAATTAAAATTATATCCCATTTTATTGGGAACCTGTTCCTACGAGAACAGTAAGGACTTTAAATCTCAAAAACACCAAATCATATTATTTAAATTCTTAAGTAAAATTTAAAATATACATGTTAAAGGAACTTATTTCATTCTTAAAATTTTTATTTTTACCTCGACTCAGGGAATATTGAAGGGTTATTTTGTGTTGCTGTTTAGAGCTTAATGAATATTTTTTAAGATTGGTAATTATGTTACTTTTTTAAGGATGCAAGAAAACAAATTTGGCTTTATTTTTACATGCGCTAGAAATATTTTTAGTATTTATAGTACAGTTAGATTGTCCAGTCCTTAAGTTTCACTATAACAATTTTTTTCTTATTTTTTAATTTATTGATAGATTTTGTTTGACTTGATACTTCCCAAAAAACATCCAAGCAAACCCCTGTAGAAAGTACATTTCTTCCCCCTCTCACGAAAAATAAAACCATATAAACCTAGCAAGATTATCAGTGATTAGCAGAAAGATGAAATGTTTTTTTAACTTTGATATTCTGGTACTATAACATTGACAGTTTTATTTGACAAGAGATTTGTTTCTATGTTCATTTTATTTACCTTGTTGCATTAAATGTATATGTTCTTTTTGCTTTGTTTTCTACTTAACATCATTTCATACAGATACTTTCTTGTTTCTCTTAATTCCTCATATTTGGTATTCCTTACTTATGGCATGATAATATCACATTACTATACATAATATGTTCAGCCATTCCCAAATTGACACATTTTGTTTCCAGTTTTTATTTTCACAAATAATACTGTTTTGGACATTTTTATTCATAGAAGTTTTTTCTTGATGTCAGTAACTTCCTTAGGCTATAGGCTTAATAGTGTAATCTCTTGTTAAAAGGATTTAAACAGTTTAGTAACTTTAATTATGTCACTACAAATAATTTTCCAGAATGGTTAAATGAATAAACAATTCTGGGAGCAGTGAATTGGTGTGCTTGTGTTACCACAATCTCTTTAAAGATGAGTTTTTCTTCTGACAGCTTTGCAAGCATTGTAGATTTATAGTGGTATCTTAGGGTTGTTTTGATTGATATTTCTCAGTTTATTAGTTATTTTGGACATTTTAGGTGGTGAAAGATAGTTTGTATTTCTTTTGAAAACTATTCATCTAATCTGAACACTTATCTGTTGGGGTTATTCTTAACAATTTATATCAATTCCATATAGATTTTGTGTGTCATGCTCTTAAGAGATACTTGATGGAAACATTTTTCTCCATCTGTATCTATGATTTTAGTTGCATTGATTTTCTATGTGCAAAAGGTTTTAAATATTCTAAAATCAAAATTATTATCTTCTCTTCTTTTTCTGGTTACTGATTTTGCCCTATCTGTAATTGTGAGAGAGAGAAAAAAAAGACTTTCTGGTCTTCCCTAAATATTTTTTGCTGTACCTTTTTACATTTAGATGCCACCTTTGGGCTATGCACTGGAAGATATAAAATGCAGCTCTAAAAGCTTCTTCACCAAAATATTATTCAGTTTTCTTAGCAGTTCTTATAAAATAAGGACTCATTCCCAAAAAACTAGTGTTTCTTGAGGTTATGGAACGCTAGACTGCTTTGGCACATTTGTTTCTAGGTCTTGTTTATCTAGTTTATTACTCTAGACTGAGTTTAGTCAGCCAGATTCACAGTTATAATAATCCTTGACTCTTCTATCTCTTTTACCACTCATATCCAGTCAGTTGCTAAGTCTTGTTGATTCTTCCTCCTCAACATCTTTTGTATCTGTCCTTTTCTTTCCATTTATCCAATCATTAATGTAGTTCAGGCTTTTATCTCTTGCTGGGACTATAGAAATTAGTCTCTTAATTGAACTCCTGCCTTCCAGTCTCTCCCTTCTCTCCAGTCAGTCCTCCACATACCTGCCAAAATAATGTTCCTCAAGTACAAGTCTGACTTGTTTTACAACCTTCTCCTACCTCCTCTCCAAATCCAGAAATTCCAATGATTC